AGGACATTGCTATTTTGGGGGAATCTGTCTAAAATAGTTGACAGTACACTGTCAAAATATATTTCAAAGTATTTTTGGAGAATACGTAAGAAATATATACACAGCCGTCAAGTATATAAGACGTTACAAAGATTTGGAAAGACGCAATGTGAAACAAGATGTTACGAGGAAATATATATTTAGAAAAGAGATATTAAAGCTGGAAATATTCCAAGGCAGTAGAAAGAAAACTGGTTAAAAGTGGTTGAAACATAGTGAAAGGTTGAAAAAATAGTAGAAATACAGAAAGAGAAAAGGTTGAAGAAGGGAAATTGAAAATTGATACCTGACTCTTTGCTGGTCTACGATCCCCTTATCTCAAAATGCTTCTTTTTTTGGGAAGGGATGTAAAAAAATTGTACATTTTAAAATTGTACTTATATACCTAACTGTTTCGTCAGTAAAATTAACCTCGAAAGTAATAAAAAACCGTGAACAAAAATTAAAATCTAGACATTCTTATTTAATTTTTCTCGCATTTTACTACACACGTTGAAACGGTTTGATTCTTTGACATACCTCATTAGAAACCAAAGATAATATGCTAAAAACTAATTCCGTCCCACCGTCTGCCGTCGTCCTGCCTTCCAACACCCGCCGATGGAATCTCGACGATCTAGGAATCGATTGGCCGTACTGCTGCAATTGGCAGAACTGTTGGAACTCATCAGTTGGACTCCGTTCGGCCTGACCGCATTCCAGGAAAAATAACACCGCCGTTCTCAAATATGAATCAACTTCACTGTTTGTCTTATTAATTGAAGCTGACAGTGACAGATTGATGTGTTTGCTCTCCAAGCAATCGTTAATCATTGCCCGGCTGTCAACAGAGATTAGGAATCTGTTGAAGTGTCTTCTGCTCTAAAGTAAAGAATAAAAGCATGATGTGATGAAAAAATATTAATTTGGGAAAAGTTAAATTTCCATCATGCATTTTACTGCAATAAATACATTCAATTATCATTAAATTTTATTAAATTGTTATGAAGTTTTTTTCTTCTTTCAACGCTCAAATTTATTTGGTGTAATGATATAAATTTAGAATCATTATCATGTTCAGCAATCCATTTGAAAATCTCTTCTATTTACTTGTGGGCCTAACCAGATCTCATGCAAAGTAGATCTATCACATATCAGCGATTGCAACCAATGATAGTCCTTGAATTTATAGTCACGAAAATGAAAATATCTTGTGTCCAACCTGTCAGTTTTGCTTCCCGTAGTGAAACATTTAGCGCACGAGTGACGTCTCTCTGGCTGCACTTGGGAAATCTGGGCCACGTGCCTCCTCGCGCACTTGCGGCGCACTGGCGTGTGCTCTTCCTGGGCGCGTGCAAGTACACCTTGTCGATGGCGAGGAGATATTTGGTTGCGTGAGCGAAAACGCACTCCACGGCTATAATCTCACCGAGTATGGTGATTTGTAAATTCCGGATGTCGACACGGGAACAAAGAGCCTACGGAGAATAATAGGCTTGTTGGAAGGCGAACAGAGGATGTGAAAATGCATAATATGTAGAAGAGTGCTGTTAAATGATAGCGATGAGGAAGAAATGAAAGCGGGTGATGAGAAATCGTAGGAAGCTATGAGAAATTTAGAGAGTGTCATTAGTTCAAAAACATAAACGTTTATAACAATTAGAGATGCTTTTGGTAAGAACCATATTATGTCGGATACGACTTCCGCTCTTTCAGGAAACGTAGATCGGCTTTGTAGGTAGGTGCAATTAAGAAGCAAAACTTTTTATTTCTATATCCTGTGTAGAGATTTAATTGATGAATAATGAAACCATTTCATACACCATGAAACGCGGGCAAGACGCTTTCAACGTTGGCAAGACTTAATTCAAGACTCGTCGTACGTTAACTTTAAAGTGTAAGAAGTGAATGTGTCATGGACTTCTTCACATATTTTACAAGAGTCAGTGGAATGGAAGAACGTAAGAGAAATACTAGGCGCGGAGTTCGTGGAGCACAGGAGTGAGAAATCAAGTCTGATGAAGGTGCAATGAACTGAAATTATTGAGAAGAGACAAGAGTTCGTGGTGGGTGACTGCTTTTCATTCATTACCATAAGAATGGTATAATAATAAACGAATGTTGATTTCACAGGAAAGCTTATAGAAATAACTTTCTTTAGAGTATTCCTTCACGTTAACATTGTTACATGTGTTATGGTATTTAAGCCAAATTAAACGTATTAAAAAGTAAAACTCCGACAGCATATGTATCTACTTGGATCTACGAAATTGAAGAAAGCTGGCAAGGGATAATTTTCAAGAACATTAACCACGTCCATCCCGAATTTTGCGGCAGAACATCGTTTGCCATTTGTTATCCCGGCAAAATAAAGACAAGCATCCAGTACCTACAGCTTTCATAAATTGTCTTCGAACCTGAGATTTCTCCAGCGACTTTTGGAAAGTCTTTGAAATTGGGTCGTGACTGGGCAGTACGCCTGCGCATTTTACTCTTTTGTTTGGGTGAGAGTAGATTAATGCGTAGGGATCAGGGAGAGTGAGAGAGCGGGTCTAGTCTTACTCTCCAAGGAACGAAAATGATTCGGGTCAATGCTGCCTGAAACTGCGACTTTCTAGATTTCAGGTGGTTTTCCTGCAAATGTGGACCTAAGTTTTTGAACATAGAACGATTCATTGTGTGAACAATGGTTAGAAAAAATCTATATTATTTCTTGTCTTTAGACTCAATTCTCTACTTTCTAAAATTACGTCTTAACATCTGGAAGGAAAAAATAAAAATAAATAAATAAAATGAAAACATGACGGAAAACTCACTAACCCTTATTGTTTATTTTTAATCCTTCGTACGTAAATATTATTAATAAATGAATGTATGAATTGGAAATTAGAAGATCATTCAATTTAACAGAAAGTAAATAAAAAAGCGGGTATTGGGAAATTTTTTTAACGAAGTGAAAAAGTTTCATCAATGAAGACACTCGGCATTGAAATACTTTTCTACTACAATATTGTGCATTTTTAGTCAGAGAAGATAAAAAATTGTTAGAAGAATTTATTGATATAGGCTTAATTATTGCCAGATGAGTTCAGAAAAATAGAAAAGCAAGTCATTCAACTGGAAAGAAAGCAGGGCATCGTGAATCAGCGGAAAATCATCTGTATAATCCGACCTGTCATGTTTACGATGCATGATATGCTGAATATACTTGGCGAGCAGCTGTCTGTTGAGAAGCTCTGCCGACCCGAAAGTTCACCGGTGAGCAAGGCGCAGGTGAGGGAGGGCGGGGAGGGCGCAGGAGGACGGGCAAGGAAGTTGGTCGAGGTGGTGCCGCCAGAACCGGCCCGCCGACTGGCCCATCGTTGACCTCAAATCGGCAGATCCGAGGGAAACTCGCATTGGGCCGACCGGTTGGGTGGACCTGCGGCAGATCCGGATTGAAACTAGCACCGCCATTTGGTGCAGTTTCCCTGACGTGCACGAAAGCTGGTCATGGAACTTCAACAACATCGCAATGCGCTTGTCGCTCCAACCAACAGGAAACCAAAAAAGACGTTTTTGGCGATACCACATCATTTTATGTCGATGTTTATCGCTTACCCGAGAGAAAGAAGTCGATCGTCTATGGACAATTTGAAAATGTACTTTAGAACGGTATCTGTGGTTCTATCTTAAAACTCGAAGACTGTTCTAGAATTTAATTACGTGTTAAAACATGAGGTCAGCGTTCTTGCTTTCCACTACGCGGCCCCGGGTTCGATTCCCGGTCGAGTGAAGACTGTAGTGTGCGTTTCTCTTGCAATGACCTAGTGTATGCTGTGTGACGATGGGAGAATACACTTCTCAGGTTGAGAAGACTGGAATACGGCGTGGGGATGTATACTTTCTAACCACACGTACACCCTTAACCCATGGCCGCGAAGCAGGGACGTCGCCGGTAGGCCTAAGCCCGTTCATAGGCTGTCGCGCCAAGTACGTACATGCATAGGTTAGGAACATGATTTACTCAAAAAATAACCTAAATAATGTAATATTGTATTATTATCCGAAACATAGAAGGGCAGAGGGGCATTAACAGTTGTCTGATAAAATGACCTGCGAAGTTTTGCGTAAACGTGCTGTAGCATTCCAAATTATAATTGCGAAACAATTTTAGTGTTTTAAAAAACTGTTCTCAAATTAATACGTTGCTTACCGAATCATAAATAAACCTCACATTAATCAAGAGGGAAAAACGATTGCATCATCTGTGGGAAAACAAATAAATATAATATTTTATGCAAACGAAAGCCAAATGTTCCTACCGAGCTGGCGCAGACGGTGTGTAAGAAAGTAACCATTCTACGCGGTGTCTAAATTCTAAGTGGCAGATGTAGAAGGGCAAATTTTGAAGTTTTGAACTTCACATACTAGTGGAGGGAAGTACTACCTTAGAAATAACAGCACATTACTCGAAGTCTGTTATTACAGACTTTCCAGTTTTCGCACCTTGCTATGGTACTACAACAAATTTTCACTTAATTTTTAAGAAAATAAAATTGCTTGCCACAATTGAGAAAATTAAAGGACATAAATAAATGAATCACAAACACACATACACACACACACACACACACGTACACATGTAGGTCTGAAATTAACTTGCCTCAGTAACATTTGTATTTGTGTCTTGTAACAAACATCGTACGTCCAGTTTTTTTAAA